AGCTTGTTTCAACCAAAATCCAGATCAGCGAAGATTTATGAACTCATGCACTCGAATCAACTTTTGGTCTCTTAGCAATTTACGTAATGAGGGTAAGCGCATTCTTTTTGAAAAAATGCACTCATTCCAAGTGTATTCTTTTTCCAGATTTATGAACTCTTCAAAAAATGCGAACCGATAAATGTGCAAAAATCGTTGATCCTAAAGCCGATCAATTAAAAGAACTAAAATTAGCACCAATTCGGTTAATAACAAGTGATAATCCACATGAAAAAATAACAAACAGGAGCCAAGGAACATTAAATTCAAATTTCTGAATTGACTGGAGCAAAGCAGGTGGTGTTTTTCAAATAAATTTAGGAAAAATTAAATAGTGTGTTACAATCCTAAAAAAAATTCGGGCCCAAGCATCTTATTGTTTTGTGGGATTGGCAACGGCGACGGGACGGTGTTGATAGCTTCTAACATATCGTGACACAAGCCTGGGTGTAGCAGATCAGTGTCAGCGCAATAACGAAATTATTTGAAGCCTTCTGTAGTCTCAAGGAAATATATAAGAGCTTTAAATTATAAATATTTCAGCAAATTTCACAGCACCGTCGATATCCCCTGAAGGTATCGAACCGAAAGGACTGTGCCACTTTTCTATATCGATTTTCCGTAGGTAGTGATATACAGTTGCGAAGCGTAGCCACTGACGAAAGCTAAAGAGCGAACGCTGGTTGTAGCACTACGGAGCGAAGGATGTTTGGTGTGCCATTTTGCGACCATTCTCCGCCATATGATGGGCATGTAGGATGTCAATGTAGCTACATGAGGATGTTGAATTCGATGGCAAATTTTGCTCATTTTTGTGATAACTAGTGGGCATCTTGCATTAGTGAATGGTATAAGTGAAGAAATAAATGACCGGTTGGACCGTCTCAGCAGAAATGGTATACAGATATCAAAGAGGTGGTGAGTGCTGACTAAACGTGCAGCCCAAGACTGAAGGAGTTGAGCAGCTGAGAATAACGTGTGGGAGAAATCCAGTAACATCACTAACACGGGATGCCACAGTGATTGCCTTGTATTCTCTATAACACTGTCTACTAATAAGCCCCCCCCCCCCCCCCCCCCCCC